CTGAAGATGAGAGTGAGCTGTGCAACCTGGTAGGCAGAGAGGGAAGTTCAACGGAGAGGTGCAAGACAAAGAATATAGAAAGCGATGTGTGGGACACAGTCTTTTTTTTTTTTTTTGAGACGGAGTTTCGCTCTTGTTACCCAGGCTGGAGTGCAATGGCGCGATCTCGGCTCACCGCAACCTCCGCCCCCTGGGTTCAGGCAATTCTCCTGCCTCAGCCTCCTGAGTAGCTGGGATTACAGGCACGCGCCACCGTGCCCAGCTAATCTTTTGTAATTTTTAGTAGAGACGGGGTTTCACCATGTTGACCAGGATGGTCTCGATATGTTGACCTCGTGATCCACTCACCTTGGCCTCCCAAAGTGGGGACACAGTCTTGAAGTTGTGCTCACTTCATCTGGATATTACATCTGGGACACAGTAGCCTTTGCTCTGGCTTAGGTGGTGACAAGCTGAGGAGAGTACCTTTCAAATGCTGCCCCAGGAGGCACACCTTGCCTCTTTGGTTGAGGGAGCTGGCACCATCACTGCCTCAATAAATGGGCAGTGGACACTTCCCCTTCCAATGAATGCTCACTTTTCTTTCTCAAGAAGGAAGAAAGAATATTTTTCTTTCTAAGACTATGGATGTAATTGTGGAGACAGTGGAAAAACGAAGAATGTGAGTGGCCAATTGGAGTATTTGATTTGGATCAGTAAATGTTTATGTCATCTTAAGGAAGTAGAAAAATGACCTATCATGTAGTTGACATTGGTGAGGACATGTGAGTTTACCATCAGGTATGTGTGTGTAAGCTCATGAGTGAGTGTGGGGAGTGAGGAGTGTTTCACTGGAAATTGTGGGACCTGGATTTTAAGTAGTTTCTCATCTCAGCCCAGCAGTTTTTTCATTTTCCCCAGATAAATTGGATATGATGATATCTACAGACCTGCACAGATACGTACTTAATAATGATTCTTGTTGTCTGGTTGGGAATATGTATTTCAGCATGTTTCTAGATCTTGTGTTAGTTGTTCTTTGGCGTATGAGCAAAGGAAAGGCTGCCTCGTAAGAGATTGGTGATATTGTTGCATAATAAGACTTTTTTTTTTTTTTTACATTTGTGATCAAAGCTTGAGATTTAGTTAAAATCCTTATGGCAATGAGAGTGTTTGGCTCTGTGTCTCACCCAAATCTCACCTTGAATTGTAATAATCCCTCTGTGTCAACAGCGGGACCAGGTAGAGGTGATTGAATCATGGGGGTGGTTTCTGCCATGCTGCTCTCGTGATAGCAAGTGAGTTACCATGAGATCTGTTGGTTTTATAAGGGTTTCCCTCTTCATTTGGCTTTCATTTCTCTCTTGCCTGCTGCCATGTAAGAAGTGCCTTTGCCCCTCCCTCTCCTGCCATGATTGTGAGGCCTGCCAGGCCATGTGGAACTGTGGGTTCATTAAACCTCTTTTTTCTTTATAAATTACCCAGTCTCAGGTATGTCTTTATTAGCAGCATGAAAACAGATTACTACAGATGATATTCAACGTGGCTTCTTCTTTTGCTGAATTCCTCCCTCTAATGAAGGGCATTATAATAATATTGGGGTGCAGTCCAACAGAGCTTACCTGTAACTGGCCACAGAGTCCTGCAGATGGGGGGATTTGCATGCTGGTACTCAAAAGGCTCACCTGCCCCAAATCATGTTCCATGCTCAGGTGCTTTGGTGCCTGGAATTCTACCCTGAGGAATACCTTACAAAGAGTCAAGGCATTCTGTTTCCTGGATTCATTTTCAGAAACTCAAGGCTTCCTTGAAATGATGGATTACACTCTTGACACTGTAATGGGGGTGAGTTTGTTTCACACTTTTTTGTCCCATGGGGCAATATCACATCATTGGTGACTCGAGTGATGCAGGCATGGAGAGGGGACATGGCAGGAAGTGGCTCCACGTGTCTCTGCAAAGATCCTGCAGCGCTGGGCCACCTGTGTCCTGTCTTTCCCCCTCTACTCTGTCTCACGTACACTCACTGGCTCACTCTTGCTGTTAGAGTCAGAGTGACCATATACAGTCAATGTTACAGTTAAGAGTGCCTTTAACTGCAAAAACCCAGAAACCCCTTCAGGCTAGTTAAGATGGGAAGGGGGTTTATTTTAAGGAGCAGAAGAACTTAAGAAAGTCAAAGACAGGGCAGGAAGGACAGCCGGGTCCCCTGGAAGCTGGAAATGGGGATGGCGCCGACAGGAGTTAAAACAACGGCTGCTGCTGTGACATGTTAGTTGCTCTCCTCTCATCTGGTAGACCGGCCTCCTGCGCTAAGGAATGACCTGCAATGGCCAGCCTGGCCCCGGTCTTTAAGCTCTCCCAGGCCTGGTGCCCACCTCTCACTGCTTGACTCCTTCTGTATCCATTGGCTCAAGCTTCTTTTTCTTTTCTTTCTTTTTGAGACCGAGTCTCACTCTGCTGCCCAGGCTGGAGTGCAGGGATGAGATCTTGGCTCACTGCAAGCTCCGCCTCCTGGGTTCAAGAGACTCTCATGCCTCAGCCTCCTCAGTAGCTGAGATTACAGGCGGGCACCAGCACTCCTGGCTAATTATTGTATTTTTAGTAGAGATGGGATGTCCCTATGTTGGCCAGGCTGGTCTTGAACTCCTGACCTCAAGTGATTCGCCCGACTCAGCCTCCCAAAGTGCTGGGATTGCAGGTGTGATCCACTGTGCCTGCCCAAATTTCTAAGAGGAATACTCTTATGGACTCAGCTCAACCTGGTTGGGGGAGAGTCCTTTGCCCCTGGTGATCCTTGAAGTTGCTGTGCTAGAGGGTGAAGGTCACAGAATCTGTTGGTTCCTACCCCAGGATCAAGCAGGGGATTCCTGCAGATGTGCAGACTCCAGAAGGGTGGGGCGACAGTGGTGGCTGCCTCTAATGCATACTAAGCATTGTTGATTATGTCATTCATTTGCACCAAAAACTTTAAAGAAAAAAATCCTTATTTCTTGCAAAACTCTTTACGATGTGGCCCCCTGGTGTTTCTCTCATCTCGCTTGCTGCATTTCTCCTTGCCCAGGGCACTGCCTCTGTCTGCCCTGCCCGGCTGCTGCCACAGGACACCTGCACTTACCATCTGCAGCCTCAGGGCTCTCCCCTCGCAGCCGTCAGCCTGTCTCACTTTACCCTGCTCAGGGCTTTGCTGAAAGACCACTTTGTCAGCGACACCTCCTGTGCACGCTGTCCCGAGTGGGACGAGAAGAAACACTGAGTCTCTCCATGGGGCTGTGTCTGGACTCTCTTATACAGTCCGACTGGGTTATGCATTTTGGGGAAGATGTCCCCCTTCTTTGGGGAAGACTGCCTAAGCTGGTCTGACAGTGAGACTAAGACCAGATAAACCTCCATTGCGGGACAGTCTGTGTTTCTCAAAATGGAGGAGGACGTGAAACCCCAGGAAGGAGTGAAGAACTGTCCCAGACCAGGGGCGGCTAAAGAGACATGTCAGTGTCATGACAGCTGGGCCAGAGAAGGACATTGATGGAAAGACATTGATGGAAGGACCTGGACGGTCTGAGTTCTGCCAGCAATGGAGCAGCATTGGGCCCTGCTTATAACAGACAGATCCTGGCGATGGATGTGAAGTCCGGGGGAAGCCGAGAGAGGGCGCTATCTTTGCAACTTTTCTTTAAATCTAAAACCATTCTGAAGTCAGCTTGTTTTTATTGTCTTCGATATTATATTTTAACCTTTTTTTATTGTACCTTAAGTTCTGGGTACATGCGCAGAACATGCAGGTTTGTTACATAGGTATACGTGTGCCAAGGTGGTTGGCTGCATCCATCACCCCATCTTCTATATTAGGTAATTCTCCTAATGCTCTGTCTCCCCTGAGCCCCCCCAACTGCCAACAGGCCTCAGTCTGTTGCTCCCCTTCCTGTGTCCATGTGTTCTCATTGTTCAACTCCCAGTTATGAGTGAGAACATACAGTGTTTGGTTTTCTGTTCTTCTGTGACTTAGCTGAGAATGATGGTTTCTGCTTCATCCATGTTCCTGCAAAGGACATGAACTCATTCTTTTTTACAGCTGCATAGTATTCCATGGTGTATATGTGCCACAGCTCATTTTAAAACAGCATGTGTCCATCACCTTGACATTGCTTTTGCATCTTCCCTGCTGAAGTGCCGAGGGAGGGGCAGCTGCCTGGTTGCCAGCATGGCCCGCCTGCCTGGGGGCTGCCTCTTCCACCTGCAAAGCCCCCTGCCTTGCATTGTATGTTCAAGTCTCTCCTTCAGCTTCTGGAGCTGATGCCCCTCCCTGATGAGGCTGCCCTGACCTTGAAACCCAGGTTGCATTCTTTGTGCCCCAGGACTCCCCAGGGACCTCCTCTCTGTGGCTGGGCACCAGCAGCAGGGGCCCTGAACCCCGCTGTGCTTCTGATGGCATGATGTCCCCAGCTCAGGAGTGACGTCCGCTCATTTCTGGACTGCTACAATGTGAGCTGCAGGACGCCATGGGTGCTTGCTGAGTGGACAAAGCCGGAGGCTCACGTCCTTCCTGCAAAGGGCCCTGCCCGGGTCCATTATGAGGTGGTTTTGGGGAGGAGAGGCTAAGACCAGCCTGGCGAGTGGGCTGGGCGTCCCAGATGTTGGAAGCCAGAAGTGAATGACGGACACGCGCTGAGACTGAAGGGTCTGGATCTGGATGAACGCTTTCAAAAGGCAGCGTGCGTGTTGTAGGGTGATGAATCATCACCGAGGCTCCAGAGAGAGTGACCCGAGGAGGAAAACGCCTGCCCGCGGACGGAGAACTTCCCGGCCCAGCAGAGCCCCGGGCCGCCCGGGCCTCCTCACTTTGGAATGCGTGACAAACATCCACAGCGCGAGGACGGGGCGAGGCCAGCTCTGCAGACCCCACAGTCACAGCCAGGCCCGGGGGGAGCGTGACCACATGGTGGTGGGTGCTGGACTTTGCAGAGCACCGCAGGCCTGCACCCGGGTGGCATGTGATGTGCGGTTTGTGGCTTCTTTCTCAGGCCTGTTCCGGGGTGTGGGAGGCCTGCCAGGAGACCACGTGAACAGGAGAGAGGAGAACATTCCTGGTGTCCAGCCGTGGGGAACAGTTTATTTTCCATAGCCCGATGAACGGAAGGCAAATTCAGACCCCGTGTGCATGAGCTGGTAAAGGTGAGCAGCCTGCTTCTCTTGATCTTGTAATGAGTTTGTAAATGCGGACACGCACACATCCACCCTGGTTGCGCTTAGAGACCAGGCCTCCAGAGGCCCCATCCCCTGGGCACAGCTACTGGGTGGTTAGCGGGATGGGGTGGGGGTGGGGGGTCTGACCCTTGCTCACCTGCAAGGCAGGCCTCAGCTGGCTTTCTATAGGCTCTACCTGAAGCTCCCTGAGAGAAGCATTTCCCCATGAGAACACTACTGCTTTATTGAAAAACAGAACACAGGACCCAGGGGCCAGGTTGCTACAAACGGAGTCCATGGTTCGAGGCCGGCAGAAGGCAAGGGGTGCTTGCTTATAGCTGGGTGCCTCTCATGGAGACAGGAGTCCCGCAGCCCCACCCAGCCTGTTCATTGTTCAGACACCCTCAGTGCCTGGCACGGAGCTGGACTCAGGAGCTGCTGGGTGGTGTGTTTGGAAGGAATGGCCTAGAACAAGCTGTGGGAGGGCCCGGATGTGTGACCTCTCCCCAGCTAGTCTTTCCTCCTCGAAGAGCAGAGTGCTGGTCATGTTGCCCACAGTGTGGCCACAAATGTTTGTTCTCCTCCCTTTCCTCTCCAGAGCTTTGGAGAGGTCAATGGTGACCTGGGAAGGGTGACACAAGGAAGGGCGGGTGCAGCAGATTTAACCAGCTCAGATGCCAGGCTGGCAAGAATTAGGGTTGCTGGGTAAAATCCCAGATGCCCAGGTCATTTGAGTTTCTGGGAACCCTGGCTAGAATGGGGTTCTCATGGACTTGGGAGGCCTGCAGGCAGCAGCTGGTCCCACGTGGAAAGGTGTGTTTTTCACAGCCGCAGACCCGAACCCTCGCCTCCAGTGGCCTTCCTACAGACACTTGTTGCTGGACACTAGTTACGAGAGTTTTGGGAGCAGGGGACCCATCAGTGCAGCACCGTCTTCATGCTGCCAGACGCGCACAGGGGCGCAGGTGGGGAGGAGGAGACTGGGGGCTTCAGACCTCAGGTCCCACCTTTCCTGGCATTCTCCTTCCAGCTCAGGCATGAGTTACTCCTGTGGCTGTGCTCAGAGGGTCTGAAGTTCTGTGTTCTGACCTAGACCCTGTTGAGACCCTGGAGAGAGAGAGCAAGGACTCAGGATTTGAACCCCTGCGTAGAATCCCTACATTGCTACTGTGGAAAGGAGGCATAGACATCACTGTTATGTTGCCTTGTGCTGCAGGTGGGCAACTGAGGCCAAGAAGGTTCAACAAGGTACTCAAGGGCGAGCCTCACGCTTCTCCTGCCCAATTGTCCCCATGCCCAGGGACAGATGAAAGGATTGGTATGATTGAAACATAGCCAGGGGCTGGCTTTGCTCAGGTTTTGAAGCTGGCATTTGTAAATGTACTTGTAGGAAAAAAATGATTGCTTCAAAAAGGCATGAAACAGAGGGAGCAATGACGGAGATGGTGCTGGCAGCAGTGTTGATGTTTGAGAAAAGGACTTAGCTTTTACTCTGATACAGAATGTTGGTATCACCTTGAAAGATACAGGGCAAATGAAATCAGCCAATTGGGCGTCATGAGGTTAATCAAATATGAAGAAGCGAATTAGATGCGGGCATCTCACATCCCCAGAGTGACCGCTGCGTGGACGGCCTGTGGGACTCAGAATCCCGGGGTCGCAGGGGCCTGAAGGGCAGAGCATTTGGCCCAGCTCTGCGCCCACCCTAGAGGCCGCTCTGGTCGGTCTTTGCCCGAGCTCATCACTAAAGGGAAATCCATCCCTTGCTTTCTCTCTCTCTTTTTTTGATAGTTAAAGTATTTTAAATCAAAAAGAATTAAAAAATGCTGATGAGGATGTGAAGAAAGCAGAACCCTTGTCACTGACAGTAGAAATGTAAATTAGTATTGCCACTGTTAAAAAATAATAGGGAGGTTTCTCAGAAACCTAAAAATAGAGTTATGCTATGATCCAGCAGTTCCACTGCGGAACGTATAGCCAATGGGAAGGGAATTAATGTATCAAAGTTTCCTCTTCTTTGGGTGGATACCCAGTCGTGGGACTGCTGGGTCAAATGCATCCCTTGTTTCCTAAAGTGGGTAATTTTTGTTCCCAGAAGCTAGTAGAAGTTTTGCTTAATTCCATTCATGTGCAACTTACCCGTTACTGGCAAGCCAGGAGACTCACACACCTCAGGGAGAAAAGTGTCCTCACCCGACGCCTTCTCCATTCTCATTTAGTTTGAGATGACATATTCTCCTAGTTCCTTTTCCTTGAGAGCAAAGCATTTATTTCGTATCTGCAGGAAGCAGAACTGGCACCTCCTTGAGGAACTCCTTAAGACTTTACCTGGAACATCCGTCACTCCTTAAGACTTTACCTGGAACACCCGTCTATTGAGTTTTTCATACAATAGTACTTTTTTCCGTATTTTGAAGCTATAGTTAATGTAGGTGTCACTCGGGCCTGTCTGCTGTGCTGTACAACCTGTGGTGACTAAGATGGCATTTGGCTGAAGGAAAACACCAGATTCACAATGAAGACTGTATTATTCTGGATATGTTAGTTTTACTTGTTTTAAGAAAAAAAATTATTTTATCCAGCATGGTGCTGTTTACATATTCCTTTCCTTGATAAATAACGAAGGTATTGAGAACACCGTTTCTTCAAACTCTTTGATCCCTGTGGCTTAGGAAGGTTGGAGACCTGCAGGCTCTGAACCAAAGACACAGATCTGGCCAGAAAGTCCAGTTTTATTGAACTCAGCAAATTTGATTTGACTCAGGCCAGGTCATTCTTTATTATTATTATTTTTTATTTGAGAAGGAGTCTTGCTCTGTTGCCCAGGCTGGAGTACAGTGGCCCGATCTCGGCTCACTGCAACCTCCGCTTTCCGGGTTCAAGCAATTCTTCTGCCTTAGCCTCCTGAGTAGCTGGGATTAAAGGTGCCTGCCACCAAGCCCAGGCTGGGTCACTCTTTATGGAGCAGACGGACAGGTGAATGGGATGTTGGCCTGAGCCTTGATAAACTGGTAACAGGGAGGGTTAAGAGGGAACATGAGACGGGGCCAGAAAGAACAGAAGAGCAAAGCCCATTCCATGGGAGAGAGGAGAGTCACGGAAACAGGAGAGGTGAGAAAGTTTGACTCTGACATTTGGGGCAGCAGCTTTGGAGAGCAGCGTGGGGCCAAAGTGCATCTAATTCCACGGAATTCTCTGTTGTCGTCATTGACTGCGGGATTGAAATAATATTTTGGAGCGTTCCTGCTACTTTACCTTGGAGAAGATACTTCCCAGAGGCCAAAAATCAGCAATTTTCTCCGCTGGCCGAATGTGTTATCTTCACCTTTGGCTTCCACAGGACAGAAAGCAAGCTTACATTGATTTTTTTTTTTGAGACGGAGTTTCGCTCTTGTTACCCAGGCTGGAGTGCAATGGCGCGATCTTGGCTCACGGCAACCTCCGCCTCCTGGGTTCAGGCAATTCTCCCGCCTCAGCCTCCTGAGTAGCTGGGATTACAGGCACGCGCCACCATGCCCAGCTAATTTTTTGTATTTTTAGTAGAGACGGGGTTTCACCTTGTTGACCAGGATGGTCTCGATCTCTTGACCTCGTGATCCACCCGCCTCGGCCTCCCGAAGTGCTGGGATTGCAGGCGTGAGCCACCGCGCCTGGCCTACACTGATTCTTGGTCTTGATTTCCAGATACAAAAGCAGCACCTGGAATTTTCAAAGCTTCTAAACAGATCTGGTATGAGGAAGTAAGACTTCGTCCATTTTCTTCCAAATGATCTGTAGAGAAAGATGAACTCTGAGTTTAATATCACACAAGAGGCCAGCCCTATCCCGTGCTCATGGCTTCCTTTTGGTGCAGTTGAGGTTTCTGTGTGGAATCAGAGCTTATCTGAGACCTGCCATTGGGATGTCTCATTGGCATCACACAAACGTGAAGCCTGCAATAGTGAGGGTGAGTTTCCTTTCTCCAGTTAACTCCTTTAAAGCCAATACGTATTTTGGTAAAAATGTATGTTTTAGCATATATGTAATGGGTAAGGAAGGTGTGCTGCTCCCTCTGAGGTTTCTTCCACATCTGAGAAAGCCACAGGATGTTTTGGCAGACGGAGTTGGCCAGAGTCAGAACGGGTCTGAGCAGTGTCACGCCATTTGCTGCAGAAAAGGTGATCCAAAATGTACACACCAGACGGTTTCCAACAGTGGAACTCTTCTGCAGGAAGTCGAAAATGACAACACAGAGGTGTAACATGGTCCTAGGCTTTGTATTAAAATCGTCATGCTCTCTCACAGCCAAGGGAGCTCCATTCAGGGAATGCTGTTTTCGTGGGATGAATCAAGATGTCCTGAAAATTCTGGGTCAGTGCTTCTCTATCCTTTGAAAAGACCTTAATAAGAATTCTGGGTCTCCGTTGCGGAGAATAGAAAACATTTAGATGCAAATATTAATCGTTAAGTCTCATGCAAACTTGAATTTTGGGACAATATTTCCAAAGGAATGGCAACAGAGGCAGCAGTCAGAACAATGCATGGGAAGAATGATGGGTGAGACACGGCCGGTGTGCAGCGGGCGTGCGTGTGTGTCTGTCTCTGGGTGCGTCTCTGTGTGTCTGCATGTGTCTGTGTGCATCTGTGTCTGTGTGTTTTCCTGTGTGTTTGCATGACTGTGTGTACCTGTCTGTGTGTCTCTCTCTCTATGTGTGATTCTTTGCCTATGTGTGCCCCTTTGCCTATGTGTGCCCCTATCTCTGTGCATATCTGTGTGTGTGCTTATGTGTCTATACGTGTGCACCTGGTATGGGTTAGTGAGCATGTCTGTGTGTGTTTCTGTGTGGATCTATGTGTCTCTGTGTGTGCATTTGTATTGGTGTGCATCTCTGTGTCTGTGTGTCAGTGTGTCTGTGTTTGTACTTGTCTCTTTTGTGTGTCTTTGGGTGTTTGTCTGTGTGTTTGTGAATGTCTTTGTGTCCGTGTGTACCTGTGTGTCAGTGAATATGTCTGTGTCTCTGTGCATCTATGTGTCTCTGTGTATTTGTCTGTGGGTGTATCTGTGTTTGTGTGTGTGCTTTCCTGTGTCTGTGTACCTGTGTCCATGTATGTGTCTGTGTGCATATCTGTGTGTACACTATGTGTGTCTGTGTGGTTGTGCGTATCTGTCTCTGTGTGTGTGTCTGTGAGTGCATCTCTATCCATGTATCTGTATTTGTGTGTCTGTATGTGTGTCTCTCTGTGTCTGTGTATTTGTGTGTCTGTATCTCTGTGTGTGTGACTGTGTGTTTAGTGTCTGTATCTGTGTGACTATGAATGTGTCTATCTGTGTGTCTGTGTATCTGTATCTGTGTGACTATGAATGTGTCTATCTGTGTGTCTGTGTTATCTGTATCTGTGTGACTATGAATGTGTCTATCTGTGTGTCTGTGTATCTGTATCTGTGTGACTATGAATGTGTCTATCTGTGTGTCTGTGTATCTGTATCTGTGTGTACGTGTCTGGGGCTGTGTGTCTGTGTCTGTATGTCTGTGAGTGTGTCTGTGTGACTATATCTGTATCTGTGTGTGTCTGGGTGTGTATCTGTACATGTCTCTGTGTCTGTGTTTGTGTCTCAGTGTGTGTCTGTATCTTGTGTTTGTTTATACGTGTCTCTGTGTCTGTGTGTTTGTGTGTCCGTGGGTCTGTGAGGGTGTATCTGTGTCTGTGTGTGTTTGTGAGTGTATCTCTGTGGGTCTGTCTGTGTGTGTGTGACTAGGTGTGTGTTGATGTGTTTGTGCATGTCTGTTTCTGTGTTTGTGAGTGTGTGTGTATCTGTGTGTCTATCTGTGTGTGTATGACTGGGTGTGTGTCAATGTTTTTCTGCATGTCTGTTTCTGCATGAGTGTCTCTGTGTGTCTGTGGGTCTGAGTGTGTGTGTGTATCTGTGTGTGTGTGGTTCTATGTCTGTGTGTGTCTGTGTCTGGCTGTGCCTGTGTGTCTGCATCTGTGTGTGACTAGGTGTGTGTTGGTGTGTTTGTGTGTGGTTCTGTGTCTTTGTGGGTCTGTGAGTGTGTGTGTGTGTGACTGGGTGTGTGTTGGTGTGTTTGTGCATGTCTCTGTGGGTCTGAGTATGTCTGTGGTTCTGTGAATATGTGTGTGTATCTATCTGTGTGTATGTCTGGGTGTACACCTGTGTGTGTTTCCCTGTGCACCCCCATTCCCACTGGGCAATCTGCCATGAGTGCAGGGTGCTGGCCGGGGAGGGCTTGTCATCTGGGAGTGCCAGCAGACACCACCGCCATCCGCAGCAAGCATCCACCTGCTCCGCGGGCGTCTTTTTCAAGCAAGTTCAGCTCACCTCTGCTGCTTTTGGTTTTCCTTTGCTTAATTGCAGGTGATGATTCAAAAAAGCCTTCACCTGTTTTCACCTGGCTTTCATCTTTCGCAGACAAAGCAGGCTGGGGCCTGGGCCTTGATCTGCGGCGTGCTCAGGCCCTGGGTATTAAAGGGGCTGGGATCACCCTCGGGCTTTTAAGGGTTTTTTTTGGGTTAAATTGATGAGCATGTATAATAAATTGAAGCTTTGTTGTTTGGCAGATTTTTTTATGTTTGTTATTCTTCTATCAGTGCAGAGACTGGTGTGGGGGTGGCATCACCTTCTCTTTCCTCTCCACTGCTCAGATTTGTCTTGGGATCATAATGGACAGATTTTAAGACTACAAATCCTTTTGTTATGTTTCTGTTTCTTCAATAAGAGTCCTAAGTGCAGGTGTCCAAGTGTCCAGATGTCCAGCGTTAAGGTAGCCGAGTCTGTGCTGGGCTGAGGGATGTGGCCCCCGGAGGACTGCTGCTGCTGTTCCCCATGTCTTTCCATAGAGCGCATGGCCTGAAGGTGAGGCCGTCCCACTCAGCCTCAGCCTCTCAGCACCCAGCTCCCTCCTGGTCCACGGCAAATGCTCAGCAAACTCCTGTTTGTTGGACGTTAGGGGCTCATTCGTCTGCGTGTAGTTCTCCTGTTCATTTCTTTGGAATGTTATTGTGTACAAAGCAGAACTGAAGTATAGGTATTGTGCTTGGGACCCACTTGCCCCATGTAAAGCATTTCATGGGTGCCTTGGAGAAGCACACCACACCTTAGCAGGACGAGTGTGCGCTGCCCCTAAGCCACGGCAGCTAGCAATAATCAATTTCAGACATGCTTGCCTGGGTCTGTACACAGACTGCACAGCTCCTGTTTTCTGCATGGAAAGGGGACTGTTGAATGTATCTCTGATGCTTCTGTTACATACCAGAACATAAAATGACAGGTGTGTGTGTGTGTGAGTGTGAAGTGCATGTGTGTATTGCAGTATTCATTTTGGGGTGGACGAAAGGGAACATTTCCCAAATACTTTCTTTTTTCTTTCAGTAAATGAGCTCTTACTCTTGGTAGTGTGTGGACAATCATGGAATACACAGGAAGGTTGTGTTGACTGCGTTTTCAGTCCTCACCCCTCTTCTCGGGTTGAGGTGATCGAACCCTGCCCGTACTTGCTAAAATGCTCCACTCTGTGCCAATTCTTTGTAAATAAAACGGGGCTCCCCCTCCCCCACACCGTGGTTGCTTCCTGCAGCCCCATTCACTACCACGTTCAGCCTAATCACATCTCTTGGAAATAATATGAGAAAGTTATGCTGTTTTACTCCATCAGATTTAATAAGTTTGGATGGTTTCCAAGTACTAGGCATTAATCACACTTAAACCCAGGCCTAGATAGTTCATCCACCCGGAGTATTCATGTCAGAGACATAAAACAATCTGCTTTAATGCTCAGAGTCCTCTTGAAACTGAGCACTTGGCTCGTGTTAATAAAACTTGCTTTCTACAGAGGGGCTGCAGAGGACGGGGCATGGGGATGTTTATATCATGTAAAGCATTTCATGGGTGCATTTTCCTGCGCTGTACTTTCTAAACCCAGTTTTAAAGCTCTGCAGAATTATATGAAAAAAATTATGCAACAAGGTAAGCCTTGGAATAAGGAAGAATTAGTCACACCCTGGCAGCACCCAGAGTTTGGTTTACATCAAAGTGGTGGAGAGAACGTTGTTCTTCTGACCTGACAGCTCTCCCAGCTCAGGGCTTCCATTCTGGGATGATAGGGAAATTGGAGGCAGCATTCGCCCATTTTCCAGCAGGTGGGTGTGCTGTACCCTCTCTTTAGAGCTCTCCAGGACATCCAACAGCTGGAGAGAACCAGTGAAACCAGTGGGGGCTGGGGAGACCGACGGAAACGGACACTCACGAGGCTTGCTTCATCGCCCATCTGCGTGGGGTCTGCGTGGGGTCTGCGTGGGGTCTGCCTGGGGTCTGCGTGGGGTCTGCCTGGGGTCTGCGTGGGGTCTGCGTGGAGTCTGCCTGGGGTCTGCCTGGGGTCTGCGTGGGGTCTGCCTGGGGTCTGCCTGGGGTCTGCGTGGGGTCTGCCTGGGGTCTGCGTCGGGTGTGCCTGGGGTCTGCGTGGGGTCTGCCTGGGGTCAGCGTGCGGTCTGCCTGGGGTCTGCCTGGGGTCTGCGTGGGGTCTGTTCCTTAGACTGGTTCGCGGGTTCCTTTTACCACCTTCCCTCCATGCCTGTGAAGAGAATGGTTTCTAAAACATTTTCCATTGTTTTGTTTTGAAATGAGCATCATAGTGTAGCAGGATTATTTTAATGTTTAACCAGAGTGACAAAAGTTTTCATGTGTTGGTCTTTACCCAAATATTCTACTGTGCCATGAAGAGAAATCTGCTCAGGTGGACGAAGAGTGTGGTGAGGACACCTGGGTGCCAGTGGCAGCGTTTGCTGATGCTGGGGCCGCCTGTCACTTGATTTTCATTGTCATTCTATAGAACGTGGCTGCTGCAGGCTCTGCCCGCCTGGCTCTGAGACAATAACTCTGGTCACACTGTGTACTTAAAGCCTCTAGGATAGCAGTCCCCAACCTTTGTGGCACCAGAGACCAGTTTCATGGAAGACAGTTTTTCTGTGGACAGGGAGGGGGATAGTTTTGAGATGATTCCAGGGCATTACATTTATTGTGCACTTTATTTCTATTATGATTATGTTGTAATATAGAATGAAATAATTATAACACTCACCATCATGTAGAATCAGCGGGAGCCCTGAGCTTGTTTTCCTGCAACTGGATGGTCCCATCTGGGGGTGGGAGACAGTGATAGGTCATCAGGCATTGGAGCAACATGACCCCTCTCACGTGCAGTTCATGGTAGGGTTCCCGTGCCTGTGGGAATCTAATGTCCTTGCTGATCTGGCGGGAGGTGGAGCTCGGGTGGTAATGTGGGTGATGGGGAGCGGCTGTCAGTACAGAGGAAGCTTTCTCACTGGCCCACTGCTCACCGCCTGCTGTGTGGCCCAGCTCCTAACAGGCACACCTAGTACCGTGGAGAGCTGGACACCTGTGCTCTAAGAAATACAAGACGTGGCCATCTCTGATACAAGATGGTGTGGAGGTAGCACTTGAGTAACATCATGAAACACAGGGCAGTGGCTACCAGCTGCCAAGTGGCGTGGGCAGAGGATGAATTGGAGATGTTCTGAGAGTGACAGGCTAGTCTCGGGGACATCCAACAGCTGGAGAGTACGAAAGGGAGGGAGGCTGTTCCTTGTCCCGCTCTGATCTCAAAGTCCCTGCTCTTGCCACTCTGTTTACAGTTCCTCCATCCTCCCACGGGCCCTGGGCCTGCCCTTCCACTGGCTATCACATGCTGCTGGGAATGCAAATGAGCTGGGCTGAAACCAACAAAAACACACAAACAGAACCAGTGAAACAAACCCCAACAGGACAGGGGCACTTCTGTTCACGTCGGGGTTGACTAACATGAGGCGTGTTAGATTGCCGAGTAGTTGTTTTTGTTCTTCTTTATAATTCTTGCTGAAAGAGGAGTCTGTCTTTAGAGAACATGCCTCCATTGTGTGAACATCTGAGATCAGCACCTGTTTAGGTATCGGTGTTCTAGGTTTAGAAGGCATTTAGGTGGCTGCGTATTTGCATACACATAAATCCAGTACTGATTTGAGATACGCATACACATCAGCAAGTCATGGTGGTGTTTGGTGGCACACCTTCCAATGCTGATGGTGACGCTGGGAGAGGGGGCTCACGCTGCCCAGGGAGCTTACAATTTGCATAGTGGTTGTAATCCTTCCTGAAAAATGTCTTCACTCACGTGACATCTGACTGGGCAATACCACAGTGCATTGTGTGATTCATTCCTTAGACGTTGATTTAAGAAATATTTATTGAATATCTGTGATGAGCTGGCCACCTTCCAGCTATTAGAAATGGAGGAATGAGCAGAAATGAGCAAGTCCCTACTGTTATGGGAAGGAGGAAGACAGAGAATACTGATAAAAAAGACAACTTATAAATAACAGAAGTTAGGGTGGACAAGTGCTGTGAAGAATGAGCGTAGGGCAGGGAGACAGGGCACAGGTAGAAGGTTGCCATCCAGTGTGGTCAGGGAAGGCCCATTGGGCCAGGAACTCCAGCAGAGACCCTCACTTGAGTGAGTGAGGGAGCCTTGGAGGTAAGCTAAGGAAAGAACATTCTAGAAGGACAGTGAGTGCAAAGCCTCTGAAGTAAGAGTGTACCTGGTGTGTCCAGGAAGCACCTATCATTCTCCTTATACTTTTTGTCCATATACATAATAGCGTATTCTATGTATCCATTATTGTCCATATAGATGTAATTTCAGTGTGACCAGGATGTTGAAGTGTAAACAAACTGCCTTCCCAGGCAGATTTATAACTGTCTGAGGTCTGGAACTATATATCATAAATGTGTCTTGTACTTTTTTAAATGTTTAGCCCAAGTTGAACTTATACAGGTAATCATCAAATACATGATAAATTTGATGGAATCAATGATGTAAAATATTAAATTAATATTAACTGTAATGTAGTGAATATGGAGTTGACATAAGGCATTTTGCCAGGAAAAGAAAAAATTCGGCCTTCTCAACCTTTCGTTTTCAGTTGCCCCTCTGTTAAGATTTTGCACAGTCTCCTCCAGCTCAAGGGTAATCACTGAACACTGTCCCAAGCAATGGCCAAATGCTGAATGTTTGATAGAGGTTTTTCTCACTGTAGAATGTCTGTAAGATTGCAGTGTGCTACAGTTCAGCAGAATCAAGTGGGCAGCGATAACGTCCTAATTATAGCCAGTGACACATAATGTGCATTTTGGAAATTAATTTTGAATTCACTGTATTTATTAATTCATTTTTAACAATCATTTCACTTTATATGAATATACACATCAACACATCACATTGCACATCTTAAATGTGTTCAGTTTTTATTTGCCAGTGCACCTTACTAAGGCTTGGGGGGCTGGGAAAGGCACGTTTTCCTTTGTAGCCGAGCTGTGCCCTGAGAAGGAGTCCATGTGATTCGGGGAAAGAAGGAAAGGCCCTTTGCGAATGTGGGGATTTCGGGCTTAGAGGGAATCTGCAGCCAATCGCTGGGAAGCCGGGAATCTGCACGACAGTCTCAGCCCCGATGTGGAAGCCGTGTGAGTGCAAGCTTGGGTTTCTCTGTATCATGTAGTGCTATGTATAGAAGAACATCCCGGAAGGGTTGGCAGTGCAAGGCCCTGAGCTGGACGGACCTCGGAACAATAGGGAATGTCAAGGCCACCCTCTTGTATTCCTGCAGTCCCCATCGTCCATACAAACCTCCATTCATTGAAGCTGGCCTCTCAGTAATGGAAAGACAGACTTTGGGCTGTAGAGCTCACAGAGCCACGGTACGCCGTGTGAAGTCTCCACAGTATGACGCGATGTCTCCAGGACCAAAGGCAATCTGGAGGAGGCAGATGGGGGCATTGGGGGGCGGGGGACATAAGGAACGGTGAGGAGGGCTTTCTGGCCTCTTGACTTGAGTTTTCCCAAGTGGAGCCCCTTGGCTGAGGCTCTGAGTGCAACCGTTTATCTCAGAGGACCCCGGTAAGCCTCATGAGCAGCCCGTAAGTCGGGCCAGCGGCATGGTTTGCAGGGCCCAGTGCCAGGAACCTGCAGGATCCCTTGTTAGAAACGATGGAAAATGTTGAGACTCTGATGACAGAGGAAGAAGTCGGGCTTGGGCTCTGTGGCCACCCATGAAGCTGACCTGTGGATGGGGCTATGCTTCTGGGTGGGGTCTGCTACAGGCAACCGAGGCCTAATCCCATGAGGACCCCCTGAAGAGTGCGTATTTATTCACAGCTCTCATCCCTTACGGGCTGTGGTCGATGCTGCCTGGCGGGCTTTAGCTCCCCTGTGTTTCTGGCCTGCCTTTCTCACGTGAGCGGAGCATGTTCCTGGGGCTGAAGAGAGAGTCTGATAGACACACACGGGAAATCGCCTCGCTTGTGGACTGTCTGTGATGCCCTCCAGGGCGGACTGCAGGTCACCCTGAGCGGTCACCAAGGCACAGCTGTGGATGCCTGGCTTGACCAGCCCCTGTAAAGAACCCACATTGGCCAAGAATCTGCAGTAACCCGGAGCTCCTATTCTGCTGCTTCTCCAGGATGCAGCTTCAGGCTGAGGCACACAGCCCGGCCCCGGGTGGGCAGAAGGGGTTCTTGGCTCAGAGCCCAAACCCCACGGAGAGGGGCTGGAGAGGGGTGGAACGGCTGCTGGAATCCCCGGATGAGGGTCAGGGAGAAAAGCCTGTGCATGGAGGCTCTGCATGGAGAGAATGAGCTGAAAAATGGGAGAAGGAGGCCATTGGTTGCAGTCCTGGTCCTCGTCCTAGCACTCGTGGGAATATTAAAAATACCCACCAGAATTTCATTTAATATAAAACTACCATTCAGCAGCATTTTAATAGTTCCTATGAAATGTGTGAACCCAGATGCGAATGCCCCAAGTTCCCAACCATGTGACTATTCATTGCCTCAATCTTTCTTAAAAATAATGGATTGGCCATGCCTGTGGCTCACTCCTGTAATCCCAGCACTTTGAGAGGCCGAGGCGGGCAGATCACTTGCAGTCGGGAGTTCGAGACCTGCCTGACCAACATGGAGAAAACCTGCCTTTACTAAAAATACAAAATTAGGTGGGCATGGTGGTGGGCGCCTGTAATCCCAGTTACTCGGGAGGCTGAGACAGGAGAATCTCTTGAGCCCGGGAGGCGGAGGTTGCGGTGAGCCGAGATTGCACCGTTGACCTGCAACCTGGGCAGCAAGAATGAAACTGTCTCAAAATAACTAACAACTAACTAACTTGGATTTTGTATGTTTGAGCTTTAGAAGATAATGTTCCGGGATGCATACAGATACAGATGCACAGAGGTGGTGCAGCA